TTGCTGCTGATCTGTTTCATGTTGCTGCTGATCTGTTTCATGTCGCTGCTGATTTGTTTCATGTTGCTGCTGATCTGTTTCATGTCGCTGCTGATCTATTTCATGTCGCTGCTGATCTGTTTCATGTTGCTGCTGATCTGTTTCATGTTGCTGCTGATCTGTTTCATGTCGCTTCTGATCTGTTTCATGTTGCTGCTGATCTGTTTCATGTTGCTGCTGATCTGTTTCATGTCGCTGCTGATTTGTTTCATGTTGCTGCTGATCTGTTTCATGTTGCTGTGTTCATTCGTGCTCATCTGCTCAGACAGACTCATGTTCGTGCTGCTGTTCGGCGTATTTTTATTAGGTTTTTTTTTTTGCTATTAGTGCTTAATGTATTTTTAGTTGATGTTTTTCTTAGTTCATATCTTAGATCTTATTACTGTTTTTCATTTACATGTTATTGTTGGATGTAACTGGGACCCTGAGTACACAATCTTGTTCCACCACATGTACCACATTGACAAATGCGATTGACAAATAAAGAAACTGTGACTCTAATAAGCATAATAATAATAGTGGACCAACCAGTTTGTTCTTGACAGTTTCAAAAGAGCAGTTCACGTTCAGTTTCTGTCCTGATGGCACAAGTTTCAGCCCATAGGATGTGAAACTAGCATCACAGCGCTGCAAGAGGGGGGAACATGGAGGCCTCCGCCCCTGTTTAATGATGGACGTGTTCTCTTCACAACGATGGCTTCTTCACTCAAACCAGCGTTCCTTTCAAGGATGTGCACATCTTCATCCCTGGAAGAGTGACTGCTGGCCTGCAGATGAGATGTTCTCATTTTGTTTTTTTCATTATTTGTAAGCCACAATCATAACAAATTACAAGAAATGAAGGCTTGAAATATGTCACTATGCAGTGAAACTATACAGTATGTATACGTAGAAAACCTAGTACGGAAACTGAAAGTTAAACTGGGTTTCTTTTTCAGAAACAGATCCTGTCTAACCCTGAATGTTAGGAAACACCTTGTATCTGTGACTTTCCTTCCCTCCACTGATTACGGTGACATTATTTACATGAACGCTCCTACAAGAAATCTGCAGATGTTGGATGGTGCAGATGTTGGATGCTGTCTATCACGGTGCACTAAGATTCATAACTGGATGTGATTATCGTACCCACCACTGCACCCAGTATTCACTGGTTAACTGGTCATCATTAACTTCACGCAGACTCTCTCACTGGTACATTTTCATCTTTAAATCACTTCTTGGTCTGCTGCCTTCATACATCTCCTCCTACATGTCTCTGCGTGAGTGCAGCTACAGCGTGCGCTCTCAGGACATCATTACCTGCAGTGTTCCCTCAGTGAGGACTGAACTAGACAAAAGGGCCTTCTCCTACTCCGCTCCTGTTTCCTGAAATATCTTACAAAAAGATCTGAAATTCTCGAGCTTGACCTCTCTAATAAGTGTCTTCAAACATCTGTTAAGTTCATGGGAAAAACCAACGAGGACATGTTCCTGTTTTTAGTTTTCTACTCCTCCTTATAATCTAGCTGTTTTTTTGCTACTGTCCTTTTGGTTGCCATTTTATTTTAATTTGTAAAAAGAAAAAAAAAATTGTATGCCTCTTTTATGATTGTCTATTGTTGTTGTTGTCATCACTCTTTGTTAAAGAAATCAGGTCTCTCTTGTAAATGAGTCCCTGAGGCTCAGTGGGATTAACCTGAATAAATAAAGGTTGAATGAATTTATCTTTAAGGTAATTTGTTTGGGATCATCTGCTGCTTTTAGTATTGTGTAGGATTTTTTTTACTCTAAGAGGCTGCTGCACTTCTCATTAAACTCCTTAAGACTCCTTAAATCTACTTTATTTTTCAGTATTACCAAAAATATTATTGTTACAAAATAAGCTTGTTTTACTCTCAAGAATGCTCATGTACTCAGTGCATTGAGTAATCATCAACTAAAACACTCAACAGCAAGGCCATAACATATAATCACTATGAAATTAATTAAATTAATGCATTAATTTATGCATTTAATCAAGCCCAGGCCCCCCCCTTGCAAAAGAGATATGTGGTTAAATAAATGTTAATTAAAAAATAAATAAATGTTACAAACGTTGCCTTCGATTTTTTTTATTTATTTATAATTGTTAAGTTTTTATCAACATTACAAACGTGTATGCCAGGGACAGGTACACAATTCAAGTATAAAAAAGAACAAGACAAAAATAAAAAGGTAAAAAAGTCTAAAAAGATATATTTACAGGATATATAGATAAATTCACATTAAGGTTTTCTAGAACTAAGATTTTGCCGTTGCCTTCGATTCTCAAAACTTAACGTTTCAGAGTGACTGTTCACGCTATCTGTTTTCCTATTGGCTGGCGGTTGTGTCAAAGCCAGATTGACAGCTGCTCGAGCCTATCACAGACCGTCGTTTCGTTACGATGGGTGTGGTCACGCCTGCCTTGTTCTTCATGAATTTTCCGTCCATTTCAGTTCACCGTCACTACCGCCGTTCTTTTTAACCGGGACAACATGGCTACTGCAGCGAGCCGTTACCTCAGCGAAGACGGCAGGGCATCGAAACGACTCAAAACCGACGGAATGGCCACGGTCAGTTCCTTTAACTTTGCCTAACTTTGTGCTGTGAATGCAGCTTCCTCGTTTCCTCTTATTTTCGGCAGTTAACTTCATGTGCAGCCGCTTAAAACGTCACGACGCCGTCGTCCCACAAAACGCTTAATTACAAAAAAGTTTAGTCATTCAACCTCGTGCTTTTCGAGCGCACGGGACATGTCTCCACGCATTTACTTCGACCTGCGCTCATTCTGTTCACCCTGAACGGGATCGTGGAAGGGCGGCTTCCCGGGCCTCCACCGAGTCCGGCTTTGTTCTTCCAGTAACGGTGAACGTTAGCTAGATGCTAACGGGGAACGTTAGCCGGATACTAACGGCACAGTTTCACACAAGATGGCCGATTAAATCGCGTTTTTTTTTGTTTTTTTTGTGCGGAAGCGTTTGCTTTCACGACTGTTTGATCCAAATGAAGCCGTAAACGAGGACTAGAAGGTTAAATTTTGGCGGTATTTGAGAAATGAGCGCACGAGGCTGTTCGCCCCCTCTTCCATTTTGCTAACTACAACCCGAGGGAGCGTGTCCTGCCGGGGTCCAACCATGAACACAGTCTCCAGAGTCGTGCTTTTCTTGGGCACGGCGGAATGTTTACCGTTTTTATCTCTTGTAGGGATACGAAGACCCGCACAAGACCCTGCCCTCGGTGGTGGTTCATGTCCGGGGTCTGATGGACGGAGTCACGGAGGCTGACCTTGTGGAGGCCCTGCAAGAATTTGGAGCCATCAGGTAAGATGGAGAATGAAGATAAACGTCATGTTTTGTATAATGGGCTCTTCCTCTGAGAGGTCATCTGTAAATTACAAAGCTCTGAAGTCATTTTAGACGGCTAAGTGTAGTTTTGTGGTTTGTTTCAGTTATGTGGTTGTGATGCCGAACAAACGCCAGGCGCTGGTGGAGTACGAGGACATGAACGGATCATCCACAGCTGTGACTTACGCTGCAGACAACCAGGTGTACATCGCTGGCCACCCGGCCTTCATCAACTATTCTACCAGTAAGAAGATTTCCAGGCCTGGAGACTCGGACGACTCCAGAAGCGTCAATAACGTTCTTCTCTTCACCATCATGAACCCCATCTACCCCATCACCACGGTACGCAAGGGTTGTAGTTTTCCAGACGTGCTGATCTGTTAATTTGAAGCGCAGGTATGTGCTCAATGTAAACAAAAGCAGAAAACTAAAGCTGCGTTTATTTTTTTTATGGTAGGGTTTCTAAAGTGTGACGTTGAACAAACGTTAGATTTTTCTTTAAATTACAGCTAGTCTTGTTAGATTTCGAAAGATGGTGTAACTGGACTGACGGTGACGTCATACACTCAGTGTCACAAGTGTGTCAGCATCTTTTAGAAATGTCTACTGAAAGGTAGTCCACAAACCGTACGAGTTTTAGCCCTCGTCAGGTTTATTGGCTCTTTTATAACTGAAAACAATGTTTGAATGCATTTATAGTTGACTTGCGCAAATAAAACTATTTAAAGACTTTGGTTTGTAAACTCAATCATCCAAAAGAAACTGAACCTTTTTTTGTTGTTTAAAGACTTTTTCCCAAATTAACCTGATAACAGAAACAAGTGTACTTCGTTACTCGGATTCAAGTCCTCTGCTGCCAATCTAATGATGAGCCAGGGATTAAATATTAAATTGTCACTGCTTTCAACCAATTAACAGAACCTTTATTTATACAGATTAATCACGTTGAGCCTCAGAGACTCATTTACAAGTGAGACCTGTTTTGGACAGACAAGAGTAAGGAAAAGAGAAAACACGAGGGGTGGGGAGGATTAAAAAAAAAAAACGCACTATGTCCTGGCACAGTGTGAAAGTTGGAGAGAAAAGACTTCTCACATAAGCGGCACATAATGACATCATGATGCATTTATGACGAGGAGGCCGACAAAGACTGTGAGTTGTCGGTAAACACTGCCAGAAAGTTCCAGTCCTGATAAGAGATGGTACAGCGTCAATCAGCCGACTCAGCTCTTGTTAATTAACAAAACCAGAGCCACAGTTTGACTCAATCGGGGCGGGGCCTGCTGTGTCAGTATCTTGTAGGTGTAGAAAAATTTCAGTCAAATTATTATTTTTTTTCCTGATTTAATTCATGGCTGCAGGTCAGTCTTGTTTATGACTGTCAATATGTTGCTGTTTTTGTGTTTTTGTTTTTCTGTGCCTGTGATGGTTATCATCTTTACAATTGCATCAAACACACGCAAACACTGCAAATTCAATTTGACAAGCTCTCAGGAGGTGACCGGAAGCTTTCATTGAGTGTCGAGTGACTCAAAACGGTAAACATTGTCAAAATTGAGACACGTGCAGCTTTAACATTTGCTGCTGTTTACACCTTATTTTAAGTGTTGTCTGTTACCTGGTGTGTGGAGAAATGTGTTTCGGTTACAAGCTAAGGCAACGGTTTGGCTGCAAGAATGCTTGTGATTAAGTTGAAATAAAAATGTTTCTGGAACACTTGACATGATAAGGAAACGCATTCTTGGGCAGAATTAGATAAACTGATGACTAGTCACATGTGTGTTTTCGAGTAAGGTGAGATCTGATTGTGCAGATGATGTTATTTTCCTGTATGTTGTCTCAGGATGTCCTCTACACCATCTGCAACAACTGTGGTCCTGTCCAGAGAATCGTCATCTTCAGGAAGAATGGCGTCCAGGCCATGGTTGAATATCCTTTGAAACAGCTGCAGCCCAACGTTTGTCTCATGTTCTCACTGTAATGAATTACATTATTGCCACTGTTCTAACAATACAGTGGTGTCAAATTTACGCTTCACTGAAAGAAAAGCAGTAACTGGTGTCATTTTTACTACAGTGGTTAGTTTGGAATTCACCCAGAGGGATGTTCCCTGTAAAGTAGGAGTAAAATATTAAGTGCACGTTATTAAGCTTTTCATAAATATGTCCTTCTTTTGTGGGTTAAATGTTGTCGATCCATTACAACCTGCACGTGACGCCTAGAAAACAAAAACTAGTCTTTTCCCTAACTCTGTCATCACATTCGACTCGGTGCAAAGTGCACAGCGAGCCAAGGCGTCACTCAACGGAGCAGATATCTACTCAGGCTGCTGCACCCTGAAGATCGAGTACGCAAAGGTACCGCACCAATCCGTGGCTGGCGTGGCGTTTACACGCCGTGGATTTAGTTAGCTTTTCAAATCATGAACATTTAAAATGAAAATGGATACAAGAGCCTCACTGGAGGAAAAACAAATTATGTCTCTGTTTCACCTGGTAAAACACTTTTACCGCACAAGAATCGCATAAAATACGAATTTCAAAACGTGTCGAGTAAAAAATTTGCATTGTTACTAGAATAAACTGACTTTATCAGCTGAAACCAGCTACACCAACATCTGCTTAGCCTCACCTGTCAAACTGATTCCTAACTGGGGAAAAAAGCTGCTTCAACCAGCTCACAATAAGCCACAATTTAGTTTTAAGAAGAAATGCTCTTGTATAATTCAAGGATCTTTGTCATTCACATCACATGGTGCATAAGGTGGAACAAACACAGGGTCCCACTTACATCCAAAAAAAAATACAAATTGTAAAGAAAAAGAGTAATAAGATCCAAGACATGAGCACAAATAGTTAGGGGTGCACCAATTGCAGTTTTCTGACCGATCACGATTTCTAAATGTCTGACCTGCCGATTCCGATTTTGGCCGATACCAGTTTTGCTTAATAAGCAACACTGTCAGGCCACAATGCACCTTCAATTTTCCAATATTTTGTTGAAAAACACCCTTGAACAATATCTTAAAAACAATACAAACTTTTTTTAACTGGTCCATGAGGTAGTGCTCTGAAATATAAATGAAGTTCAGAAAATTGTTGTTAAAACTAAAAAAAATTGGCCGATTTCCCAAAATTAAGGGGGGGGGGTGATAAGGCGCTCGGTTCTGCCCCGCCTTTATAATGGTAGGGGAAACAGAGTCATGCAGGTTAACCAGAAAGCTTTTAAACTTAAAGCTCCTACTTTACCTCCCATTGTCCTGTCTTGATGGACCCGTCGTTTCATAATTCAAATTAAAAATGGACTTGAGTAGAACTGATTAACAAATTACATTAATAATCTAACATCCGCAGGTTACCATACCACTTTATTTATAAAGCACTTAAAACAGTGACAAGGCCAACCAAAGTGCTGTACAGACAAAACAACAGGTAACACACAAAGCAAAATACAAAATGAGGTAAATCAGAATATAGACACAAAAACGATGCAGATAATGACGACAAACCAGTGTGGAGCATACAGGATCAAAACACAGATCATCTGGTGTTGAAAGCTACTGAATAGTAGTGGGTTTTTAAACGGGACTTGAAAACTGAGAAGGAGGGTCTGACAAGCAGAGGTAAGAAAGGAAATCTGGACAACGCATTAAATGTATAAAGCCCTTTATAAATCAGATTTAATCTGTGGTTCTGGGACCTCGTACATAATTTCCTTCCTCATGTACCACATGTGATACGATTGATGGTCACTTAGGATCCTTTGTTAAAAAAAATACAAACCGAATTCCAAAAAAGTTTGGACACTAAACAAATTGTGAATAAAAACTGAATGCAATGATGTGGAGGTGCCAACATCTAATATTTTATTCAGAATAGAACACAAATCACAGATCAAAAGTTTAAACTGAGAGAATGTATCATTTTAAGGGAAAAATCTGTTGTTTCCGAATTTCATGGCGTCAACAAATCCCCATAAAGTTGGGACAAGTCCATTTTTACCACTGTGTGGCATCCCCCCTTCTTCTTACAACACTCAACAGACGTCTGGGGACAGAGGAGACCAGTTTCTCCAGTTTAGAAATAGGAATGCTCTCCCATTCATGTCTAATACAGGCCTCTAACTGTTCAATCGTCTTGGGCCTTCTTTGTCGCACCTTCCTCTTTATGATGCGCCAAATGTTCTCTAAAGGTGAAAGATCTGGACTGCAGGCTGGCCATTTCAGTACCCGGATCCTTCTCCTACGTAGCCATGATGTTGTGATTGCTGCAGAATGTGGTCTGGCATTATCGTGTTAAAAATGCAGGGTCTTCCCTGAAAGAGATGACGTCTAGATGGGAGCATATGTTGTTCTAGAACCTGAACATAGTTCTCTGCATTAATGGTGCCTTTCCAGACATGCAAGCTGCCCATGCCACAAGCGCTCATGCAACCCCATACCATCAGTGATGCAGGCTTCTGAATGGAGCGTTGATAACAACTTGGGCTATCCTTGTCCTCTCTGGTCCGGATGACATGGCGTCCCAGTGTTCTATAAAGAACTTCAAATCGTGACTCATCTGACCACAGAACAGTCTTCCATTTTGCCACACTCCATTTTAAATGACCCCTGGCCCAGTGCAAACATCTGAGCTTGTGGAGCCTGCTTAGAAATGGCTTCCTCTTTGCACTGTAGAGTTTCAGCTGGCAACGGCAGATGGCACGGTGGATTGTGTTCACTGACGATGCTTTCTGGAAGTATTCCTGAGCCCATTCTGTTATTTCCTTGACAGTAGCATTCTTGTTTGAGGTGCAGTGACGTTTAAGGGCCCGGAGATCACGAGCATCCAGTAGAGTTTTACGGCCTTGACCCTTACACACAGCGATTGTTCCAGATTCTCTGAATCTTTTGATGATGTTATGCACGGTTGATGATGATAACTTAAAAGTCTTTGCTATTTTACGCTGGGTAACACCATTCTGGTATTGTTGCACTATCTTTCTGCGCAACAATGGTGGAATTGGTGATCCTCTTACCATCTTGGCTTCTGAGAGACACTGACACTCTGAGAAGCTCTTTTTATACCCAATCATGTTGTCAATTGACCTAATTAGTGTTCATTGGTCTTCCAGCTGTTCATTATATGCTCAATTTCCTTTTTTCCAGCCACTTATTGCTACTTGTCCCAACTTTTTTGGGATTTGTTTACACTGTGAAATTTTGAATCAACATATTTTTCCTTTAAAATGTTACATTTACTCAGATTAAACTTTTGATCCGTCATCTATGCTATATTACGAATAAAATATTGACATTTGCCATCTCCACATCATTGCATTCAGCTTTTATTCACAATTTGTTTAGTGTCCCAACTTTTTTGGAATCCAGTTTGTAAATAAAATAATGTTCCTAAAGGTCTTGGCTGTAGTATGTAGGTTTTAAATTTCTTCTGACTGTTATGTAACTTGCATTTCAGTTTTTAAATTCTTGTATTATAAATAAATGTTTCACAGAAAATAGGGTAATGGATGGAGTAATGTCCTGATGCATGCTCAATAATCCCGGTAGATAAATCTAAAAAAGTTAAGTCTGGTCCTCTGAAGTAATGGTTAAATTTAACATCTACATTTGATGCAGCGACGGCCTTTCAGATGAGGCCCTGATCATTTTATTTGACTTATTAGACTGAGGTTTTATTTTGTTTGTTTTTTAGTAGCTGAGCTGTCAGATCTTCATATTAACATGAATATTTCAGTTTTGTTTTTTATGATTGGAACTGATCGGAAGGGGCGGAGCCTTTAACTGACAGTTTTAAACAGGAAGTGAATGAAACGGATCTGGAGCAGGTGTTGAGTTCAGCTTTAGAGTGTAAATAAAATGTGTAGATTTGTAAATATTTAAGTATATTTGTCTTGTTATAATCTGGATTTCAATTCTGGTGTTATGTATTTGTTGTTTTTCTGCAGCCCACTCGTCTGAATGTGTTCAAGAATGACCAGGACACGTGGGACTACACTAACCCCAACCTTGGAGGGCCAGGTAAAACCTCCAAACACTCTGGAGATAACTCAGACACCATTACTGGCACCGAGGGGAGTTTCACTCAACACACTGATCAGACTCAATACACAGACATTAAAATGTCTCCTTGAGAATCACTTTGTGTGGCGTTCAGCCCGTCGGGGTTCACACACACGAGAGGAAGCTTTGACATGAGGTCAGAAACTTCACCATAAATATTGTCAGTAAACTGCAGTCATGAAATCTTTGCTGTGTCGAGCTTGGCAGGAACACGGTTGCAGACAGAAAGATGACTATGCTGAGCTTGAATGTTTATACTTTCATCCTCTGTTTTCATTGTCATCGGACTAGAAAGTGGTTGTCTAGACCGTTTCACTAGTGAATATCTTGAGGCTATCACTTTTCTTGCCTGTGGTATGCAGTTTCTCTTGTTTCTTGACTTTCTGCTGCAGATGTCGATAGTTGAAAGCTTCCATCGTGTCATGATGAGTTCATGTTACTCTGAGAGTCCGCTTCCTCTTAAACAGCAGCAGGACTTGTTCTCATGTTTTATTTAAGGAAAAGACTTGGGATTTGTTTCAAACCTAAAAAAAAGGTGACTTATCCTCCTTTAAAATAAAAAAAAATTATACAAACCTTTAGACCAAATTCACCTCTTCACGTGCTTCTCAGCTTTGTCGTTACGTTTTGCACGAGGTCAGTGTTAACGTAGCACATCAAGTGCTGGTGACTAGTTGGCAAACATTCACAAGAGTCTCCAGCTTTCCTCGCTAGAATCACAAAGACTTACGAGGCGTCTGCCTCCATGTTGTCTCAACACACAGTGCAGCCGTTTGACTCCTCCATGAAAACCGTCTCTACCAGAAACACCAGAGACCGCAGCCCAGAACGTCCAAATCTAAAAACATCCGCGATAAATTTACAGTCAAGATAAACGGCTCCAGATCTGCCCATCTTTATTTCCAAAGTGTTGTTCAACAGAGGTGGGCAACAAAATAAGATGCACGACCAGGAGGAATACAGTTTTAAAATCTGCGCATGTTTAAAATAAGTAAATAAAAATAAGTTGTGACTTAATACTGGCCCTTGGGTGCTTGGTTGGCGGGTGGCGCAGAGACGTTTCTTACATTCTCTCGTTCTTGTGCAGCAGTGGCGACCTCTTTGTAACAGATTTGTAAATGTCATATGGCGTGGAACATTTCAGTCTGTAAAATAAAAATATTTGGTGCGGAGACCCCGGGAGAAAGAGATCTGTTCTGGGAAGGGTTTTCCAGTGCTGACGCTTTGAAAACTACGTCAGCAAGAACCGATTTCTTCTGTTCTTGTGGAATATAAATGAAGCTGGAGTCTCCAGTGAGATATTCCATGTACCTGTTCTTGTTGGGGGGTCTCAGGTGTAGTCTTGTTTCCTGTGTATGTTTCGTAGAAAGGATTCTTGTCTGCAGGAGGCTGTAAACACATTGACTGGTCTGGTTATGTATAAAAGAAAATTGATGTCCGAGTAGTGTCTTGGAGAGATTTAATTTTGCTGTGATGTTTTTTTTTTGTTTTGTTTGTTTTTTCGGCTTTGCACTGAGGGGTGGGTGTACCTTTGTTAAATATACTCGAGTTGTTTGAGGTTTCATCTGACTTATCCAGTAGTACCAGTACTTTTGTGGCTTGAGTTAAGAAAATGTGTCCTGTTTACGACCCTCGTTTGATGAGATCATCACTGAGGTGAATTCTTTACACCCTTCAATAATTACGTGCAATAAACAGTGTTTGTTTAAGCAGGAGCACTTCAGGTGTGTGATGTCATGTCTGCAGAACTGGAGCAGAGAATTGTCATGCAAATGCTCCTGAGGTTGGGAAAGGCTTGAAACTGATACTTTTCCATTTAAATTTAAAACCAGAGTAGGTTTCTGTCAAACAAGCAGCAAAGTGAGGACAGAAAGACGTTGTTTGACAAATGGGTGACTCCCCAAAGGATTGTCGACATGCTTCAGTCGTGACAAACTCTGCAGGGCATGTTTTCTTTTTGCTTGCAATTGCTGTTCCTGCTTCCCTCTAGACCTGGGAATCTTTGTGCACTGAAAGGAACAGGAAACAAGTTTTTCTTGCTATAAGACTGATTCTGGTCTTTTCCACTGTTTCATACGGTGAAGTTTTTCCCCTTTAGTTGAGTGTTTTAAGCTAAGCATCATAAAGTTTATGGGTTTTGTCCTGCTCATTGGTTCTGAGATAAACAAACGACCCTCTGACACTCCATTTATTTTAGTGAGAACAGAGGCATGGACCAGCATCAGTTAAGTCTGTGATCTCTTGAGAACGTGCACGTGACGTTTGTGCTGAGGGAAATGCAGATGCTTGTTTACACCACCAGTAAGCAGTCGTCATCAGGTCACTTTCTTCAGTAAGGACACAACCACTATCATACAGAGGGCCAAACGATCCACGATACAAGGAGACACCATCCACTCAACACGACGAAGTAGGACTGATACACCAGTCACTCCTCATCTCTTCATTCTCGCACCAGATCCTTGGAGACATTTGAAGAGTGCGGGGAGTTTTGTGCACTGAGCTACACTTGGTGCCTCCCCCCTCTTTCCTTTTCTTCCATTCGTTTCCTGTTGTGACACACTGAAGCAGACCACATGTCGCATCTACAGCGCTCCACTGTCGACACAAAATGAAGACTTAACACCAGAGGGTGCACAACTCCTCCCAAAAAGAAGGTACAGACAGACATCCTCACTCCCAGCTGATGACGCGTACTGATACAAACAAGCAGCACATTGAAGGCCTTCCAGTACTGTGTTGGGCTGCGTTCATCATGCTTCTCGACATGCAGACGAAACATTTGAGCAACATATTGTCGACATTTGCTGACGCTGCACCAACTGATCCCAATCGAGCAGTAGCCATTCACACTGGATTCAACACAAGGCAGCCGATGAAGACAGGACACTGCTGACAACACCTTCAAGCACACTGAGCCCTGCCCATACCCCACATGTACCCCTACATGGAGTTCTGCTTTTTTTCCTTTCTCTTTCTGATTGTCATATTGTCCCTGTTTAGATATCTTTATTGAATAGTTTTTGTCCTGAGTAATACCTGAGTTTCTGTAGAACCTGTGTAATGCCTTCCATGTAATGCAGGTTTGGCTATTTGCGGCTAAGCGGAGCCACCTTCCCAACTGAAATGTGCTCTATGGCAGCCTACCGGTGGACTAATCCGCTAAAATGGAACTGAAAGGCTGGAACCACCAACCAACTCGCCTGTGAGCATTTCATAAAACCCCTCCCTCAAACAGGAGAATGACTGTATGGGATGAAATGAACGAAACGTGAAGGGGAGCTTCTGCAGCTAATGCCTTCCCACTGTTAATGAACATGCAGTAAGTAATTCAAGACCCTCCTGGGAACGTCACTGCACAGCACCACACGACTCCAAACCCCAGCAGCCAACACGGCCAAACAAGACAGACATTTTCTGTTTCCTCATACACGTTTAAGCGCTCGTTGTGAGAGAGCAGCTGGTTTGTGTGGTGTTGTCGAAGCCCGCTCTGAATGCCGCACACATTGATACTCCCTCTGACACTCGCTTTCATTTGGTTGGTTCAACTTGTTTCCTTGGATTTAAATTACTGATCTGCGAGGATGTAAACCTGAACAGTCAGGAGAGCGATTCATCCTCCAGCCACACTGGCTGCTGGGCTGCAGATTGCTCGTTTGGTCACCTGCAGAGGTGCCTTCATCAAATCTCAAGTACTTGCAGATGAGACCCTCATTATAGGCAGACTTATACACTCCTGACATTTAGGTGGAGTAATTTCCAATGTCTTTGCCCTTTTTTAAAATGTAAACGTGATTAACCTGGCTTCCATTTTGATTGTGTATGATTGTTTACCCGTACAGATGGTGATGCAGATGGCAATGGCAGCAATGCAGGTGTGTGAGAGCGAACAAACTTCTTACTCCTTAAACTTAGCCATTCGTGACACACTCCAGAGCGATAGTTTGAAGCTCTTTCACCTCCCACATCATCAGCATCCACCTCATCTTTGCCATTTTCTTCTGTTCTACTTCAGGTTAAAAGCTGTGTGGGTGCTTTGGATTAAAGTGGTCATTTCTCTAGGACATTTCAGTCTTCATGTTACAACCAACACCTCCCTCCTCATTTCTCTCCACTAGTTTTAATACCAAATTGAATCACAGTGTAACCAGAGTAGAGTTTAATGTGGGGGAAGGACTGTGCTGGTTTGGTCTTTAAGGTCAGAAGAATAAAAGTTGAATGCATGTCTCCTGCTCTGGAGTACTCTGAAAACAACACCGACACATTTCAACGCTGTATGGAAAACTGTTAATGGTCATTTGAGTGACAAAGTATCTGATTATTGCATTTTATCCAGGAGCATCCCACTTCTATGTAAATATTAGAACTTTTTTATTTTATCATTCCCTGTTATTTACGTCATTGTTTTTTCTCCTATCCTCTTTTCATAGAAGACGTCAACGCCAACCCGAACAAGCGCCAGCGACAGCCTGCTCTGCTGGGAGACCACCCTCCAGAGTACGGTAAGACGTTTTACTGTTCGAGGAAACGCCCCAGAATACGCATTATCCCGTCATCATCATCGTCTGAAGTTTTTATGGGTAGTAGTTTATGTTGGGTACTAGTTGGTGAAAAAGTGAATTTAAGCATGAACAATGTGTAAATATTCTAAAATCCTCTTGGATCATAAAATCACTGCTTCACACGCAGTTCAGTGTTTGGATTAATTCAATTGTTCACCCGAGTCATTTATTTATATTCTGGTTTTCACTCTGACTTTTATTTATTTATAGTTTCATTTGATGGTGTCATTCTTTAGGAGGTGGTTACCATGGCTACGATGAGAGTTACGGGTCCTCGCCGTACGAGAGTCGCAGAATGGGTCCTCCGATGAGAGGGCGCGGCGGAAGAAGCTATGGTCCCGGCTACGGACCCCCTCCTCCACCCCCCGGGGAGTACGGCGCTCACGCCGACTCTCCTGTCGTCATGGTTTATGGTCTGGATGCTGCCAAGATGAACGCTGACCGCGTCTTCAACATCTTTTGTCTGTACGGGAACGTTGAGCGGGTCAGTGTCTGGTCTGTTTTACGTTCATTAGATCCATAATTAGAAACAAGCTACACTGATGCATCTTTGGCTACTTTCTTTTAATAAAGAATCATCAAATGATTCAAATGTATGTTTAAGAATAGTTCTCGCTGAATCGTGGTTGATGCTAAACAATGTTCTTTCCTTTTGTAGTGGCTTTAATAATTAATCAGTGTCGTAATATTTCAGGCTTACGTTGTTGTTAAAGATAATGACGTTGGAAAAGTTAGTTTATTTGTAAATGTGTGAGTTTTAACTCGGGTTACAGAAGAGCTTTGTGTTTTGAAGTGTTGGTATTCAGAGTCTCCATCGTTCGGTGACTTTCTGTCAGCGTGCTGTCAGGAAACCGGTCCGACCCGTCTCGTGTTCGTCTCTTCGCAGATCAAGTTCATGAAGAGTAAACCTGGCGCTGCCATGGTGGAGATGGGAGACTGTTACGCAGTGGACCGGGCCATCACACATTTGAACAACAACTTCTTGTTTGAGCAGAAACTAAATGTTTGGTGAGTTCATCGTACCCGGTTAAAATGCAACATACCTGTCATGGTTCGTGCACGAGAACACAACATGCGAACAACAGGGGACTCCTTGTCTCCCCCCCCCCAAAAAAAAAGAAAAAAAAGAAGAAGGAACAAGTCGCTGCACCAGGCAGGAGAGTTTGTTCCTCCTGACCTTTTGAAATTCTCTTCATTCATCAAGTCTGAAAAATGAGGACAGATTAGTAAAACCAACAACTCATCCAGAAGCTTTTGGGGGGGGGGGGGGGGGCGTGTTAACAGCTCACTGATAAAGAGGACGGGGCAGCGGTCGGACCGCTCCGAGTAGTTGGGTCACTTTGCACAGAAACCTCTTTGTCTTTGCTGAAATCTTTCCATCTGCAAAGAGGAACCGTTTGAACTCGCTGATCGTGTCTCCTGCAGCGTGTCCAAGCAGCAGGCCATCGTGCCGGGTCAGTTCTACGACCTGAAAGACGGCACGTCCAGTTTCAAAGACTTCCACGGCTCCAGGAACAACCGCTTCACGTCCCCAGAACAGGCGGCTAAAAACCGCATCCAGCACCCGAGCAACGTGCTGCATTTCTTCAACGCTCAGCCGGACTCGTCCACAGAGACGTTCACTCAGGTCTGTTCAGGACCAACTCTCATCCCGACTGAACGTCCTTAACGTTTGTTTGTTGTAAACGTTCCAACTGTCTTCCAGATCTGTGAAGAGATCGGCGTGAAGAACCCCGTTAACGTCAAACTGTTCACAGGGAAAAGTAAGTCGTGATCGGGTTTGAGCGAGAAACTTTTGTCCCGTGGGATAAAATCAAGTTATCGTCGGTGGATGATGCAGAGTAAAAAATAAAATTGTTTCCAACAGACGGGGCTGATCGCAGCGACCGCAGCGCCTCCGGTCTGTTGGAGTGGGAGTCCATCAACGACGCCATGGAAGCTCTGGCCCTGATCAACCACTACCAGATGAAGAATCCAGGTCTGTCGCTTTCATTTATTCTGAGTGTTTAGTGTTTTGTTTTGGCATAATAAAAACTTTACAAGTGATACGTTGTTAAATGATGAAATAATGCATCAATATTTAAATAAAATGTATTTTCAGTAGGTTGATGTTTACCCTCGCAGGAAGTGAAGTCAAACAAGTGTTAGGGGGAAACGTAAAGGAAAAAAGTATTTTCACATTTAGAAGTTTTTAATTAATTTAACATTCGGTATTGTACAAAGTTGTTAAATTAGAAAAACATTTTCTGACATTTTGATGTCAAAAAGTGGCGCAAACATTAATTGCGTGTGAAAAGTCTAAAACGTGTAGAAAATAAAACCGTTTTTAAGTCGTCCCTGAAATGGCGCTTCGCCACCGTCTCAACTCCACCTGGCACCAGCTAAGAGCCCGCCTGCTGCCAGTAACTCCGAGGGCCCGGTTCTGACGTCAACAACAGCCAGTGATTAGCCAGCAGAGCTACATCACTGGATGACCTGCAAACTACATCAGAGCCTCCACCTTCTCATCGTGTTGACGGACGGTGCCACAGATGGAGATGATGGAGCAGCATGGCTACACCTGAAATTATAAGCAGTGCCGGTATAAGAAAGAAATTAAAGTCTGGTGACGGACACAGGGAGAAGGATGGCTCGAACACAATGACCAGTTACGACCACGCCCACTTTGCATTGATGATCCCGCCCACAGAGCAGGGTCAGTGGAAAATCACCGAGGAGACGAGTCGCGCTCATTGGCAAAGAGGCTTAAAGGTGTCGATTAAAATCAAATTCATGTTCAGAGTATTCAGCCGCGGCTCCTCTGAGCATGTGTCTCACGGCTCCTCCTTCAGCGTGCAGCTCCTCTTCCTCCTCTGGTTGGACGTCACTGTGCCGCCGGCAGGAGCAGAGAGGACGTCACGGCTCGTCTTTAAAACGATGCAGGTTTTATTTTAAAGAGAGAGCCGTCTTAACAGATTCAGGATCAGTCTTTAAATGTTGAAACGATGGAAGAACTGGTCTAGTTTCAGCGTCGATCTACTTTGATCGTTTGCTTCAGATGTGTCGCTTTAATCCAGAGCTGAGCGACATTTCTTTCCAAAGAGCCACATCGAGATGTTTAAAGCAATCAAAGGGCCGTTCATGACAGTTCATCTTTCCCATATCTTTTAGGAATATAAAATATTCTGTAAACTGGGTCTTGTGACAACACGTTACACTGTACACGTTAGCTTAACATGCTATACACGTTAGCGGAAATATCCAAAACAAACATATTTATGTTTCTATGTCTTAAAGGTCCAGTCTAGTTCTGGAAACACAATGTCTTCAAAAATGTTTATAAAAAAAATAGTTTTGCATAAGATGTTTAATGTAAATTTCCTTAAATCTCGTTGATTATTTATAGATAGATATAGATATATAGATATATATATATATATATATATAGATAGAAAGATATTTTATTATTTTATCTAAGGGTATTTGGGGGCCTGATGAAGATTGTCCATGGGCCACTTTTGGCCCTCGGGCCTTAACTTGTCCACGTCTGCTTTAATCTGACTGAGAGCAGCTCTTCTTCCTGTTGAGGACGTTTCAGACAAAGTTACTGAAATGTTGCGGCAGGAGTCCATGTTTTAAAGTTTATTAAAGATTAACATCAGCAGGCTGGAGGATGAGTAGGTGTTGTGTCAAAAAATGTTCACAAGTTAGATAAAACCTTGTGTAAATATTAACGTTTAAACAAATCATTCCTCCATTTTAACTAGAGCTGCTCAGCTTAACCCTAATCTGGAGACGTTTCTGTTTTTACTTGGAAATATAAAAATAATTCAGCTGGAGTATCTGTGAAATATTAGATCTTTAGTAGCGTACAGGTTTATTATCGTGTGAAGCGACGAGATCGAAGCCGTTTTGATGAAACCCGAGCTGGTTTTAACTCGGTCCGATTTAAACGGAGCGCGTTGTTTCTGCAGAACGACACTTTGAAACATCTGAACGTTTCTGCAGAACGACACTTTGAAACATCTGAACGTTTCTGTGCAGAGCAGTGACGGGCTGCGGCGCGGCGGGGCTTCATGTTGGCTAACGTTCAGTGTGTTCTCCTTCCAGGCGGGCCGTACCCGTACACGCTAAAGCTCTGCTTCTCCACCGTGCAGCACGCCAACTAAGAGCATTTCATTGTGGAGGACATAAGCGATCATCTCCACAGGCACCGAGCATGACACACCTGAGGACACCTGTCATGAGCCAACCTTCTCATGTTTAGTATTGAACACCGTGAGCATTTAAATTTCATATTTGTGACCCAGACGTAGCTTAGACGGTCCTGACGTTGTCCTTTTGGTTCTTCAGTAACCTGACAGATGTTCTGAGCTGCTCATCGATGGCAGTGGACAACGTGCTTTTGTAACTTTTATCTTGTTTTCCCCTTTTTGTGTTATTTTAATTGATTGTTCAGTTTTGTGTCTTCATGACTGATATGATGGAGAATTGTTTTGTTGTAAGAAAATAAACAAAAATCAAAGAAGTTGAGCATTTGCGGTTTCTTTCAACATAATGAACTAATGTTGCTTCAGAGGACTGGAGGGAAGTCGAGAGCAGCAGCAGGTCGGGGATTAGTCCAGTTCAGAAATGTCCGATGTGTAAAACTTCAAATGAGTTGATTAAAGTGTAATGTTTGTTCTCAGGAGGTAAATAAATAAATATAGCTGACGTTCAAAACATTAAAAAGTGCAAAACTGTAACAGATTGTAAAACATTTGTCAGTCCCCATTCTATCTTTCTGTTCCTAAAATATCTTTTAAATGTTATTAAATTCAGAGGATCAAGATTCTTCAGCTGGACTTTGATCCGTGTTGCTTTTAGCTCAGTTTTACTTCTGGCTGGGTTTAAAATGACGTTTTACATCTGGAGCAGCTTCCGTTTTGTCCAGAAGGGATTTAAAATGTAAAAACTAACGGATTGTGTCATTGGATGTTTCACAAGCACCTCTGGAGGACCAGGACCAGGTGTTGGGTCAGAATCTGTCCCACCAGCAGGAAGTTCACTTTATAGAACTGAAGCCTCTCTCGTCTGTTCCTTCATGTCAACGGCCTCAAACTTGGATTCTGGTCTTCAGTCCAGATGTTTGCTGTCCTCAATGGACAAAAAACATCTGTTCCTGCTCCGTCTAAAACCACAGTCCAGTTCACATGAGGTGACCGCATGCACAGAGCTGCCTGCCACTTCCTGTTTCTCAGTTCGACACCTAGTATCAAAGATTTGGGCAGCACTGTGGAGTAGTGGTTAGCAATGTTGCCCCACAGCAAGAAGGTCTTGGGTTCAATTCCCAGTTTTCTTTGTGGCGTTTCCTTGTAAAGTGTCTTGAGACAACTTTGTTGTGATTTGGCTCTTTATAAATAAACTGAATTATTTTGTTGGTTTCCTCGTCAAGTCCAAAGACATGATGTTGGGTTCAGGTCCAGGAGGACCTTGAAAAAGATCTGAGGTCTCTGGGGTTTGTCTGGTTAAATAAAGATTTCTGATGGGACGAACGTCTCCTGCAGACCCAGAGCTGCTCTGATGCTTGTGAGGACAATCCAGGAGGTTTGAGAACTCATTTTTAGACTTTCTTTCTCGATGCAGAATAAACTACAAAAAATAATAATACAGAATTTAAATTAAATGTTCTAACTCATTTTAAAACCAAGAAAACAAACATGGCCGCTTGAGTTTAACACAGTGTGTTTTTATATTAACCATTTGGTGGAGGATTTATAAATATTTTGAGAAGACTTAATGTTTTCAGAGTTCTTAATGTTTAAATCATCTCTTATCTGGACAGAAAACAAACCTGTCCACTCTGTTTTGTTCATGAATTGTACAAATAAAGTTTTGTTTGAATATTAAGCTAATCGTGTTTCTGATCAGCATCAAAAGTTCGTCTAAGGGTCAGAGCAACATGTGAAGGTGATAAATTAATTTCAGAAGAGAAAATTATTTTTAAATTGTCGGTGAATATTCCTGGAGAGGGCGCGAGGACACGACCTTCAGAAAAGACTCAGGAAGGCGTCTGCAGGTTTGACCTCTGACCTTTACAAACGTGAATTTCAGGGTAATCCTCATCCGCGTGTCTTGATGCGCTATAATCCAGGTAGATTAACCAGGTTAAGTCGAGTCCAATGGACGGATTCTTGTTGAAACGTTTCGTCTTTTATCCAAATGACTTCTTCAGTGCGAGGAGCTGCAACAAACTCGGTCTTCTAGCAGCTGCACCTTCTCATGGTGGATCAACCAGTTTGCTGACGACTGACCTTTTGTGACAGATTAAAATTTCCTGTGCCACCAGTGTCGGCACACTGTTGATGGGATTTTGGACTGGAAAGAGAAAATGTCAGGTTCTGCTGCACCCTGATCCCAGGAGGCCTGAAGCACCCGCCTGCGTTTTTTAATGCGACACCTGTTTTATGTTCACCAGCCTCCATTTTGTAGGAGGTGCAGGCGATCTGGGCATGTGGAGACGAGGAGCAGAGCCGATCGGCTGTGCTTGCTGCGGCTTGAAGCAGTGGGTTCCCAACCCTGGTCCTTGAGGAACGCCATCCTGCATAGTTTAGTGGTTTAACTGCTCCGACACACCTGATTTTAATGAACGGGTAGTTAAAAGGCTTCTTCAGAACATGAAGTAATTAAATCACTGAATCAGGTGTGTTGGAGCAGAGAAACGGCTTAAACATGCACGACGGTGTTCCTCAAGGGCCAGGGTTGGGAACCACAGGCCTTGGAGGACCACGATACTATGGAGTGCCCGACACCCACGGCTTGTTACGAATGTGGCAACAGGACCTTTTGTATCTGAACTGTCCAGAACGCAGGCGATCTTTTCAGAGGTTGTGGAGGATTGAGGGAGACGCCTGGACTTTACAGCCTGACGGAGGCTGAAGGAGTCGTGCAGGCCCTTCTGAGGCCACAGATACAGTGGAGACGAGGGTCTCCCAGTGCGCTTCCAACTGGGTCCCTCTGCTATGTGAGGGGCAGCAAACATAAAAAGTCAAAGCTGGGCAGAGGGAGTGTTTGTGGGGCGGGTGGAAGAACGTGAGGGTTGATGAGCTGATGGGGTGGAGACGGGCGGTGTTTTGGTGGGTCAAGCAGGAGGCAGGTGGTGATTTCGCTAACGTGAAAGGTGGAAAAAGTTAAGCGCTGCAAAAACTTTCCGGATGCACTGTTTTATTATGATTTTTGTCAGTTTCAAGTTCAGTTTATGGATTTTTATTCCTTGAACCACAAAAAAAAAAAAAAAAATGGAATAAATGAAACAAAATCTCAAGGCCCTGAATTATTATAACCTAAAGTTTTACATGCTGAAGGTGCCTTTAGGTAATCTCATCTTCAAAGGAACGTGAGAGTTTTTTTTAGTATTTAAGCCTTGAGGCACCTTTTAAAATGACTTTACACCTAAAACCTTCAGGCCCAAAGTGCTCCCTCCTATTATGTACACCTTGCTATGTAGAGGATTGTGAAATTTAACAAATGAACAAATCCTGGACAAGTTTTATACAAGTGGTGTTTAAACTGACTGAAATACTGAGAATCGAAAACAGCAAACAAGCAGAATGGGCTCGTTTGGTCCCCCGAGGTGCAGTAAGGGTTAAAAAATGTTTCAGTTGCAGAAACCCAACATATTTTGGATCAAACATTATTTTTAGATAAAGTAGTTTCCTTTTAAGATCAGTCCTGGAACTCTGCAATTGCTGTTGTTCACCAGCAGGGGGCAGCAGGACCCACACCAAGGAACCGGAAGTGGTTGTTCCGCTCATAAAACGCTACTAGGAATGAGATTTTCAATTAATTTCTGTTGCAGATCTTTCAGTTTGTTCTGTCACGTGACAATGGCTGTTGAGCATCACCCTGCTCAAAGGTAAATTTTATAAAATACAGAACATCGACAGTAATAGTTACAAATTGGTATATATCTTGAGGACTTCCATCGAGTTCCCGTAGTGTAGTGGTTATCACGTTCGCCTAACACGCGAAAGGTCCCCGGTTCGAAACCGGGCGGGAACACATTTTTTTTTTTTTTTTCCATTTCTGTGGGTCCGACCAGAACACATTCTATATTAAAAAAAAAAATTATCATTGCTAAATCGCTTTCCTTTTCAAAAGAAAGTTCAAAACAAAATTATTATTATTACCTGTAATTCATTTTCATTCAACCTTTATTTATACAGGTTAGTCTCGATGAGTCAAGAGGACTCATTTACCTGTTTTAGACAGACAACAATAATTCAACAAAAAGCAATTAAATCAAATAAAAGTACAGTAGCAGCTGCCATATAAAACAAGGTAAAATACCAACAACAAGAATATTTGCATTGATTTTTCTATTGATATTAACATGACATTTTTCTTTTTTCAATCGGATCCTCGACGGTGCGGCCTGTCAATCAACTCGGAAGGCGTGTCAGTAACTGACCAATCGACAACCTCAATTTGTCCCGAAGGTAAACGCCCCTTACCTGCTGACAAGCTCCAGTTTTTTCCCTTGAGGAGCTTCTTGTTTTAATTAGAACAATAAGTTTGTATCTGTTGTGAGATGATTTTAGCAGTTTTGAAGATTTTTAATCTACTTAATGAAGAATAGTATGACTTAAAATCGTTCATCAAACAGGAAGGAAGGATTATTATCTCTCCCCTTACTGCAGTGAATGTGGTACTTTGTTATAAGTACAACTATATTAATGGCATCAGAGAAAGCTGAGCTTAAGTTATCCACATAAAGTAAAATGTCATCAGCATGAATAGAAGTTATGTTAACTTTGAGATTAATCCAGTTTCTGATGTCTGGCCAAACATTTTGTATTGACATTAAAAAAAACATGCTCGAGGGATTCATCTTGTGATTTACAAAAGGCACAAATCAACATCAAATTTAAATATTCTTTACAGAAACATGGCTACAGGATGTATCTTATTTATTATTTTAAAATGATTCTCCTTCACTTTAGGAGATTTAGACCATTTGACCAATTTAGAATGAGCAGAAGTCATTATGGTTTTATGATTTATACTGGGAGGTTTCTTGAAGGAATCTTTGTTATAATCAGTAAATACTTTGTCTCAAACATTCATTGATAATCTTATTTCATTTGAAGTTGACTAAGTTACAGTCATTTAATTTTAATGTGGGCATCAAATCGTCACCTTTGAATATATAATATTTTTAATTATTGAATCAGCTGTTGGTCAGGTTACTTCTTGTTGTGCCATTAGCTCTAAAATAGTTACTGAATCAAGTGTTTACTTCCATCCATCCTCGGGGGGTACCAGCCTAAGTGGGGAGGCCCAGACTTCCCTCTCCCCAGACATTTGGACCAGCTCCTCCGGGGGAATCCCAAGGTGTTCCAAGGTGTTTACTTGTGTAGGTAAAACTAGATGTTAAACAACCATTAAAACACACCAGAATGCAGGAAATGGCATCTACTTTATTCAAAATTTTCAAGGGGAGGACCCCCAGACCCCCCACCCCACCCCCATTATAAATG